GAAACTTGAGGCGAAAATAATGAAAAAAAAACGGCTGCTACGGCCCGACCTGATTTCAGGTCGGTAAAATATGGTAACTCGCATAGGATGGAACTGTAGCTCCCTGGTTTCGCGTTAACACCACGACGAACAAAATAACCGACAGCGAAACCAAGCGAGCTACAGAACTGCAGCTACCCTTTGCGCAGTTACCGTTGATTTTACCTCTAGTATCGACAAGTAGGCTACTAGTACTATAAGGCATTGATCGTCGTATAACGGATTAAATAAATAAACTGAATAAATATGTGTTTAATATTTTTTTTAATATCTATATAAATGACAGTTATTTATGAAGCCACTTGAACAAATAATTTATTAGTGGAGGGTGTGAAATTAAACCCACTCAATATCTGTATTCATTTATCTGGTCAACTTGCATCTTCATCTGGGTGACATAATTTTCTCTGTAATGCACAACTGTCATTTTCACACACCCTTCTTCCAAGCTGGGTACTTTTTGGGGATAATAAATGAAACTGCCATACAATTGAATACTCGTACAATGCCTACTACCCTGGGAATGAAAAGCATGTACATGGATTTGTTACATAGTAGTACTAGTGTGGGTGTTGTCAAGATTTGATCAACACAATCTTAAAGTGCAGGAGTAGGGTATACAAAATTGTTTTGTACCGGTTATTCCGAGCAACTTTTCAAATTACATACCATTTGCATTCTCGCCCGCCAGACCTTATGTTTTGTTCAAAATTTGTTCCTTCTCGTCACAAAAAACAATGCAAGAAAGCTAAACAGTAACCATAAAAGGGTAATGATTTGCGACGATGACCTGTATCAGCCCTTTATGATTAGAGAAAAGTTCCGGATTTGGAGGCAATAATAAGCCATAAGGTGTGATTTTGATAATTTCTGAATACAGACTTTATTGATTTATTCCAATTTAATGAGTAATTTCCGAGTTATGCGTTTATAGATGTTTTGCATAATTATTCAGCTCCAGTTTGTATCAAAAACTTTCTATCCTGTCTTTCTGGATGGCTGATATCCCATGTTTTGTACACAGTCACTGATTGGTTGACCTTCATCTACTTGAAAGGCATCATAATATTCCATTCCCCTTTTCGACATGGAATGGCTGTTTTATTCTGGTATGGTCTGCACTCAACTCTGTGGGTTTCATCTATTTATGCAACGTTTGTACTTTTAAGACACTTGTGTAAATACAGTGATCCCTCGCTAAATTGCACCTCAGTGAATCACAGTTTCGACTTAGTCGCAACTGTGTTTTGCCGACAGTTTTGAAGTAAAAGAACTAATGTTTTGTCGCATAGTTAAACTGGAGGAGGCAACTTAACACCTACATTTGTACTTGCTGTTAATTATTAAGATACACGATGACCTGACTCGAATTAAATATGAAGTCGCAACTTTACATACTTCTTGGCCATTTCCCTGTCATAAAGATCCATAAAACTTGTTGCACTGAGTTGAATCCATGTCCACATGGATGCTGTGATATTGTCCTATAAAGAAAACGTACTAAAGTAAAAATAGACCCATATATGTCTATATGTGCCTTTTATCAATTTTCAATTCATAACCCCCCCTTTCATGAGACCCCCTCGGTAAGTCACGACCCTCGATAAGTCGTGGTTTTTGCTTGGATTCCTCAACTTAGCGAGTGGCCACTGTACGTTGAAAGTGTTTCTATCAGCAATGAATGGAGTTAACGTTTGAATATTACAGTGAATCGGTAATTTCTAAATTCAACTTCTGTTGAAATCCTTCATGTTGGAATGTGACCAAATCCAACCACAAATTAACTGGTTCATAACATAAAAAAAAAAAAATTAATTTCGAAACAGTTCATGAAGCATATGTACTTGCGTGAGGTGGTAATAAGTCAAACAAAACACGTAACATCTGAGAAATAGATTTCTTTTTGTGGTGAGAAAATAGATGATACTTGTAGCTACAGGGTAAATTAGGTAAAATAACAAGCTAGCTAAAAAAACTTGTTTATTGAATTTAATTGTGATAGTTGTAGTTCATGTATCTGTCTAATTTGTTTTTGGTTGGGGGGAGGGGTTATAATGAAATTCTATCTTGTCATAATGACATATGGCAGGATTATGAAAAATGAAAAAATTGTTTGGCTTTAATGATTTTAGATATTTTTGCGCTTTAATGCCAAGTTATTTTTAGGAGCATATGCACATCAAGGCACATTACTATTCAAATGTCAAAATAACTATCCGGTTATCAAAAAAAAAAAAAAAAAAAAAATACTGGTATCTGCATTTGTTTTCAATATTGAGTTAAAATTGATAAAGGTATAGTCTGCTTATCATATATGCAATAATTTTGTCTCGTTCATCCCATCTGGTACTGTGTGATTTGAATTCTCTAATGGAATTGAAAATATTGTGACTGCTTCTTTTATTTAGATTTCTTCTGTAGTGCCAATTGCCCCTCTTCTATTTCCATCCAGCTCCCTCCCCTACACGTGAAAATAAATTAGTCCTCTCATCTTGTCTTTCAACAATTTGGTTCACACCTTTCTGTTACTTTACAATTGAGTCTTTGCATATATACAAAACAATATTTGATATGTTGAATAAAACTGTCAACAAACAAGCTTCTCTCTGATTGGTCTGATTGTTGGTTGTTAGGGCTTGGTAGCCAATCAGGCACAATCTTCTAAGTAGCCTCACATTGACTAAAATGTAGTTAAGCATTTAATGCAGACTTTCAATGATGTAGAAATAAGTAAGTAGTCCGTCACCTGCTTTGAATAAAATACTGGTTACTTTTTTGCTTTGAGTTTTGTTAAGGCCACCTACATTTTCATTTTTTCTCCTTACTTGAAAATAAATCTACATCGCTAAATTTTAAAAATGACGACCAAATTAGTAATAACAACTAAATCATCAACCAAATCAAAGTAAGTGAATACACTTTTTGTTTTAATGGTTCAAACACACTTGATTTACTTAAAATAAAATAAAAATAATCTGTTATATTTTTATAAAAAAAATAGTTTGAGTATCATTAAATACATGGGTACATGCAGGTAGCGTTATCAGAATGACAATTTTGTTCCCCTCTGCCTTGTAATTGCTTTATGTGACAATTAGTTAGGTAATCACGTTTCATTTACTGGAGTCAAAGACCATATAATATTTTAACGATTGTGATTATTTGACTAGTATATTCTCTTGTATCCATGCATGGTAGACCCTATTGTGTAATCACCTTTATTGTAATGGTAATTCTTAGCACTTTTGATTATAATTTTTTAGACGTAGTAATACTATTGTATCTGATTGATTACTAACTGCACTCCTAGATTAGATTGACGTTAGATTCGTACACTCTGAATGCACAGACAGATTGCCACTCATTACATGTACAATGTAACAACGCTGTGGTATAGATACAACAGAAGCATATTGGTATATTCCCTGGGATGTATGACTGCATGATTCCCGCTCAGTCTTTTGCAGTTCACTAATATTTTGATTCACATCGCTGTTTACACTGCCTTCAATATGGCAGTCACAGTTATACACAGTATTTATTCTATAGCACTTATTTCCTTTTACCTATGTTGTGTTGTTACAGTGGGTTTCATGAAGGCATGAATTTGCTTGTATAAAATATTTATATTTATAAATGTTGTGTACCAAACGATAATGGTACTACTTTTACTTTCAATCTATCAGATTTATTTTAGTAAATGAATCACTCCAATTTCAATCATTATAAACAAATTTGATGAAATCTATTTTTCGACCAATGATTGAAGAAACCCTGCAAAAAACTAATTTGGTGACGGATTTTACCAAATTGTCTCTAAAGCCAATGAAAACATCTTTTTTTATTTGAATGAAGTGCTAGAGTCTTTCTGGATAAATGTTTTATAAATGTCCATCAAAAAAATTCACACCTTTATAAAACCTGGAGTAACTGAAATTTGTTTGTAAATATAAATGTGAATTCAAATTCAAACGGGAAGTTATGTTCTGCTATTGCAACGCCCTTTTGGATTGGTCTTTATGTATGAGACTGATCACTGATTGGATACTAAGCTCTATTCAAAAGTATATTCATCCACACAGTCCCTCCACACCGTGATCCACACAGTCCCTCCACACCGTGATCCACACAGTCCCTCCACACCGTGATCCACACAGTCCCTCCACACCGTGATCCACACAGTCCCTCCACACCGTCCCTCCACACCGTCCCTCCACACCGTGATCCACACAGTCCCTCCACACTGTGATTCACACAGTCCCTCCACACCGTGATCCACAGTCCCTCCACACCGTGATCCACACAGTCCCTCCACACCGTGATCCACACAGTCCCTCCA